GGTGCTTTTTAAACGTAGCAGTAAAATATTCAAGAGAAAAATATCAAAAAAAGATGGAAAAATAACCGGCTGCTACGATATAGAGAAACAGCCATTTTATTTTTGATAATTTTTTCGCTTTTTCATTCCGCCATTTTTCACTCTTTGCTCTAAGTTAATCTATATTCAAGCAAAATTTCGAAACCGGTTTCTCTTGACACTGCGTATACTTTTCGGAATCTTAAATTACAGCTTGAATTATGGCTGAAAAGTTCTATTAAGATTTATTACTATGCCAAATCTGGTGTTTAATTATGGTGTGGGATTTGAGCAAGCAAAACAAGACAAAACCAAATCCAATCATTGTTTTTGGTGGTGAGAACGATTTCATTGTCATAGAATTGTTCATTGAATTTTGCCGTTTCTCAAAAAATGCACAATCAATTTCCAAATTTTTCAAATTTTTGCTCACTCTATTTTAAAGCATATTATTTAGATCCAAAAAACAATAGGAAACAAAACAAGGATAACTGGTTGCTGTGCAAGTAGCACAGAATGTTCCAAGCATATTCATAAAAACTAAAATTAAAATTTGTTCAAATTAGTGTCGTTGTTTGTACGTTTGATAAAACGTTTGATAAAACTATACACACGCGTAAAAAATTCTTGAAAGTTTTTGTTGCCAGGGAAGTGTGAAAAATAGCTTTCAAAACTAATTTGCGTTTAGAAAAATCAAGTTTTGTTTTAGTTTAAATGACCAATTTAACAAGATATCTTCACTTTATTTGGTCGAAACTAGACAAAAAACCAAAAAGTTATTAACCGGATTTTCTCGACACTTGGTTCTTTTTGAGAAATTTTTAAAAGTCGTTCGAGTCACGACTGAAAGGGCTTCGAAAAGATATATCACTCAACCCAGTCCGATGATTATTTTTGGTACCTGATTTTGCGTTGAAAACAAAATAAGAAAAAAATTAAAACACACCCGAATGCAAAGTTATTCGCCATTTTTAAAGGCTCGAGCGACACGAATTGTCAGTTGCTAAAAAAAGAGCACAGAATGTTTCGATGACAGTTATTTTTGAATGATAATTTTAAAAAATGTTTTTTATTTCAGTTTTTATCGCTTCAGTTTCAGTTTTCCGCGTGCTGTGAGGAGAGGAATTGAAAATTGCAGTTTTTGTTGTGAAAAAAAATGAAAAATAAAAAATCAAAGATTTGATCTAAGAACAATTGATTGGGTCTCAAAAGTATATATCACTCATTCTCACCTAATTTTCATTTAAGGACCCCAAATTAGCGTGGAAAAAAAACTAATACGCGAGGAAAACAAATATTCTCCACATTTTCAGTGGTCGAAACAAGAAAAAAGTAGCTGAACTATAGCTGTAATTGCATCCCACCAACGTTGTTTATTTTAAGAGGCATTGAGCAATTAGCGGATTTAGATGTTGGCTGGCTGAACCTAAAAATTTTCTAGAGAAAAATTTGGCGCCAAAATATACTAATTTTGAAGGGGGATCGCGCGCCAAAATAATGCAATTTTTTGGTCAAAACTGTCCAAAAATTCCCTAAAAATGCCTCTTCCAGCCTGTTTTTTTTTTTCAAAAGTTCGCCTACAGCGCAAAAGTTTAAGAGTTTTTAGTTTTTTAGGAGATCTCGGAAAATCAATTTGATCGACCCAACAAAATGTTGACCAAATTTTCGAAAATTTTTTGAAACCTGCTCCCACCACGAGAAAATTCTAAATCTGCCCCTGCATAGAACACACAATAACTATGATGAGTTTAGTCGCATTTTTCAAAAAATGCTACCATAGTGGGAAAAAGCAAAAAAACTGAGATTTCTCGGGTTTTCTCACAAAAATTTGTCCATGCTCAATTAAGCCATTCAAAGCTTTTTCATGGCTGAAAAAATAAAAGCGCCTAAATTAGTTTTATGGATTTTTTCACCTTGAATACTTAATTTTTTATGCCAAAATCAAATCGAATAGCTTAAGTTTCAAAAATTTTATGAGGCGGTTAATTTCAACAAAGGACGCAAGCGCTCGTAGCTTTAGTATGCGAGAGACCTTCTAAAAGCTATCGAAGAGCCATGAAAGGACGAAATCGTAGGAACCGCAAAAATTTGAAATAAAAGTTGCAACAATCTTTGTTCACTAGCTACAGAAAAACTCGCCCGTAAAAGCAAATTCGCAAATAAGTAGAGCCAGGATTTCAGTATTTGACTAAACCGAGAACATCAAATATGGCTTCTTGTTTTTTAGCCGAAAACTAGAATACTGGGACTAATAATACTAATAAGACATATAATGCTATCTATTTTAGACATATGAGAAAGCGTTTCTTTTTCGGTTAAACGATGAGTTATGAAGACATTGAACTGCTCGAAAACTCTGAAAGAGTTCAGTGTGAACTTACTTTGTCGTGTTTGAAACGCAGCTGGAAACGCCGCAGTTATGAATGCGGCACTGGGCGGCGGTGGAGGGGCGGGGAAGAAGCGGAACATGGCATGGGGTGAGTGGAATCCGGTCGAGTGTCCCGCTGCACTCGGGGGAAGGTGGGTGCCGGAGAACACCGAGGATCCGGGAGAATGGCTGGAGCTGAGGGAAGAAGCGAGGCTGGCAACTTGAGCTGCGGCTGCGAGATTGAACATTCCGGAAGTGGCTTCACTTTCCAACAAGGATGGTTCTTCTGCGGGCAATTGTTGTTACGGCGTCGGTTGTTGTTCCCACAGGTTGACTTTTGTTGTCGAGACTCTTCTGTTTTCTATCTTTTTGGACTGACTTTCCTCCCAGGCAAACTTTGAGACTGAATATTTGTGTTCCGGGTTTTGGTGGTAGTTCAAATGTTGGAATGAAACTTGAAGTTGTATGCTCAACTGAGCTGTCAATTACTGTTTCTAAATCCAGTTGGCTGGGCTCACTTCAAGTTTGAAGTTTGTTGACGAGGCAAGCGAACAGAAATGGAAAGTTTTGATAGACGAGTTGTTGTGTTTTGGGTTGCGATTTGAGATAGAGGTTCGGGTCCGGACGGGTAAATTTGCCGGACAAGACAGGACAGGGTTTAAATTTGGTGTTGTTTACAAAGCGAGATCGACTGAGTGCCAAAACAAAGGTCTGTCAGTTTAGATTTCACTGTCCAATTGTGGGCGATTCCAGTCATAAACTAGCTGGTCTGACAAGTTTAGAGTTTTACCGATCTAGCAGAAGGGGGATATAAAGAGCTGGATTTTAACTGAGGGGTTTATTGGTTGTACGAACTGGCAGCTACCATTGCTGCAAACTGTTATAATAACTGCTTATAACTGGATCTTGTCAAAGCTCTCAATCATTTGTCTTAATATTGTATATTTCCATTCAATTGCTTCCCTGTTGATTGCACCGGGCAAAGAACAAATACTACAATCTGATTGGATGATACCGCTATCCAATCAAACGGTACAGGTGATTTATGGAAAAAGGTGCTCTAAATATTGTGAAATGAATTGAACAAATGTTATTTACCGGCTGAAAATTTTTAAACATTTATATGTATCCTTTATTTTTACTTTTATCTGCGCAAATGGATACTGAATGAAAAAATGCTGAAAGAATGATGAAATTTTGTGAAAAAAGTGACTTTTTCCACACGAAATTGATAATGAATGAAAAAATCCAAAACAAAATCGCTGTGAAAAAAGAATAATTTCATTCAACATTCTAAAATTAACATTCAGTATCAAATTCAAAATTCAGTATCTATAATTAAGCGAATGATTAAATTGGTGTGAAATGTGAAAACTAACCTAATTCAGATGTTGTTTTTTGAGAAGCAGTCACTGCTGAGTAGTAGGAATTCAACTGGGACTGGTGAAACATTTTCTCCTGTTGTAGAGTGTCGAAGTTTTCCCCTGTGTTGGTGTATCTCATCATTTCGGGGTTGTTTGCGGCCAAAAAACCCATCCAGTCAGCTTCACTGGGCAAGTTTTCAGTTCCGCGCAGTCTCTGATGCGTATCAAAAATAGCTGCTCCTGGCGGGGTTCGAACCTGCTGCCCCATGATTGCATCTGCACGAATGGCGGGAAGTGAACCGAACTCAAGATGGTCATAAATCGGCTCATTTGGAAAATCAATCAACTGCGTTTCAAATTTTGGGTTTTTGGATAGGTCAACTGGTTCATCTAATCCACTTTCAATTTCAAGATTTCCTGGAAATTCGACCGAATTTTCGGACTCTACTGCGTTCAAAGTTTTCATCGTTAAGTCCATGTTTGTAATATAAAAAAAATCAAATTACTGTAACAGGAGTGCGGTTGTTCTGTTTTATCTTGTTTAAGCAGGTTTTCTACGATAAAAAGAATAAAGAGATGAAACTAGATTTGGTTAATTAAGTATAAAAATGGTTTTTGTCGTTGACTCTGCGTACTAACAGTCAGTGGTTTTTCATTTTAAGTCGCAAGTCGTTTTTAAGTTTTCAGCCACTGTTTTGTACTTGTAGCCAGAACCGTTGACTTTGCCTCTGTAAAATCTTGTTAAAACGAGATATGAAAATAATATCAAAAGTATACGAAGGTTTGTGCCTAACAGAATACTGTTAGATGATAAAACCAAAAACTTGCTTCAATAAGGTGGTATCGCTAATATAATGCAAGACCAAGTCCTAGAGTACTTTTGTAAGATTATATTTGTTTCAGTTATTGTTTAGTGTGAGTTTTGTTTTTGGTTTTGATAATTGATTAACAAGTAAGATGTGTAAGATGATAATAAAACAGTAAAGACTAAAAAAATTTGCAAAATGTGCTAGAGAATGTTTGCATTTCTAGCCATAGGTCTCTATGATTTATGTGTTTGCAAACCAATATCAAGTTTAAAAACAAATGATACTCCTCTCAGTAATTGTAATAATCATTGTATTTTCTTCGTTTTTGTAAAAACAATTCGAGACGCGCAAAAGACCGCAAAGTCAATGTATTTATTGTTTCTGATGATAACTGTTCGTTTCTGCTGTAATTCTTATACTTTTATGATAAACGTGAAGTCAAGTTGAATTTTAGGTATAAACAAAAGTTCCGGAAACCATCACTTTGCGTTTTTAATTTCTGAGATAAATATAACAATATTTCGCAATATCTCGTATATTATTGTTTCTTCTTCACAACGTCGTGTTATAGTTTTTTCCCAAAATTTAATCAAAATCAACAGAAATATTGGTTTACAAGCTATTTCAGCCAAACTTTAATATTTTAGCGTCAATTTACTAAGAAAGATATAAGCAAACTTCTCAAAGTAACGGTCTGAAAGTCAACACGCAACGTCAGTAAAAAGAATTAACACCTAATTATTATCGGTTAGGCGAAGGCCACTTTGCAAATTTATGTCTTTTTATCTATCAGAATAACTTTTAAGGCAAAATGGATTTTGTTTGTGAACTTTTTAAGTAGTAAAACAACAAAAACACCAAGAAGCCGACTTTTTTTTCTGGAAACAAAAAGCTTACAAAGTCAACTTTTTAAAGGCCCTTAAACTAACAGAAAAAGGTGATTGTGAATTAAATGGATGTTGACCAAATTTTTTGGTCTGAATTAATTTATAGCTCAATTTAGTGTTGACGTTTTCGGTTGTTTTTGACAATTTATGTATAGTTGATACATTGGAAAGTGTCTGACCAATATAGGTCACGTATTAAAAGCGTTTGTCTTGGATTAAAAACTTTGTACTTTTGATTGTTTTTCATTCAGTCTAAAGATGTCAACGGCTTTTCATTCGCAAAATATATATACTATATGCAACTTCAGATTTGCAACAATTGGCAGAAAACTGCCACAAAAAATCATTTTCAAGCGCAATTAGAACAAGTGCATTTATTTTTCGGCCCTATGAGCTTCCGACTTTTTGACCTAAATTGGCCGTAAACTCCAGAATGAGTGAACATTTTTCACGTATTTGTCAAAGTTGTTCACATTTGTTGACCCTGAGTTTCTCGCACCTTCAAACACACCAATTTCAGGTCACACACATTTGAAAAATCCAGAAGAATGAAAACTCAAAGTTTAGATGAGGGATTTTTAAGCAGTGGCAAAAACGTGCTCAAACTAGTTTAACTTTTAGAAGGCTCAAACGATTAACTTCGACTGTGAAATTAGTAGCCTCGTCATCTGACAAAAGCGACCCAGTTGTCAAGTGGTACCAAATGTGCTGTCACTTAGAAGCCGTATACCAGATTTGTCGAAACTTTAATACCAACTAACTTATTTGGAATAGAAAAGAACGGAGCTGCTTGAAAATCCTCAGCATCGACAACTTGTATGAATGAAGACAAAGCCATTATTAAAGTTAATAAATAAACGTTTTTTTTTCTGTAAATTGGGGTACATTTGCCTTGTAACTGATGATTTGAGCAAAAGCCGTCTGCTAGAAAGAAGAATAACCGTCTGTTGTGCAAGTTGCACAGAAAGTTCCAATCACATTGATACAAAAATAGAAAAAAAAAACAATTTTCTTCACTTTTCTCTAATTTTTTGTGCACGATTTGATGAGAAGAAGCTATCCGAAAGCTAAAATCACAAATGATTTTGAAAAATCTACTACAGTGTTTTCAAAAAAAAAGATAACAAGAATAATGAAACTTCAGGCGAGCTTTTCTCAATCTTTCAAAAAAAATCTTGCAAATTTTTAAAATTTGTTTGAATCAAAACTAAAGAGGTTTTAATATGGTATAACAAACAAGCCATTCTGATGATTAATTGCCGTACGTAATTTTGTCTTATGCAATTTTGTCTTGCGCAAAAAAAATAATATAAAAACAACGACACCCACAGGCAAAAATATTCCGAATTTCTGTGGTCCGAACAACATGCTTCAATTATTTCATTGCCAGGCTAAATTTGTAATATTGCCTCGAAGCTTTCATAGTCTTCCTTAAGTTTTTTTTTACTTTCCACGACAATATCTATAAAAACACATCAAACCTATTTGTTAAAAAAAGGCTTTCAAGGTAGAAGTTTTTCGAATTAAACTGATTTTAAGATTTTATCAGATTCAAATGTCACAAAAAAGAACTCTAAACACCAGATGTGTTTTTATTGAGTGACGCTGATTATAATATCAGGTACTTGGAAATTTTCTTATTCGGCAAGAAAAAACTCCAAACGTGTACTGCTTTGTTTTAACGCTGAAATTTCAAATAAGAAGACTTCAAAAGCTTAATGTCAATTTTTTTATTTTGTTTTTAAAAATTGAACAACAATTTTATCTTTGTACATTTAAGTAAATTGAACAAAAACTCAAAGTTCCAATTGCTTTCAAGTTTTTTTCAAACTATTTGTTTTTCATTGTTGCTTAAAATTGTCTTCGATTTAATTTGAACCTTTTTGCATCGGAAAATAAAGTTGAAATTTTGATTAGATTCTGATGTACAGTAATGTGAAAAATCCAATTTGTTTTGAATCAATTTTTGTTTCAGCAAAAACTTGTGAAACGATAATTTAAACGCAATTAAAAATATTTGATACTTTTTTACAGTTTTTAGTCAAAAACTTAATGATGAAATAAAGTGAAATTAATTAATTGTTTATCAAATCAATGCAGTTCAGCGTTTATTTTTATTTATCGCTTCAGAAAACTTTAATAACAAAAAATTAACGAGAATATTCAACAAAAAAAAATCAAAAAACCGCACCCACTGGCAAAATTGTTCTTAACTTCTGTGGTTCGAAAAACATGCTTCAATCATTCTAATAGTTCTTTACCAGGCTTCATTTGCAATCTTGCCTCAAATCTTTCATAGTCTTCGCATTTTTGCTACTTTTCATGACAATACCTATTAAAATATATTTAAAATATTTGTTAAATTAAAGATTTTCAAAATAGAAATGTTGACTAGCTTAATTTTGAAGCTCTTTCACGTGACATGAATGCGTTTTACATCAAATAAAAATTAAAAAAAACTAAAGCTTGCATAATTAGTACGTGCAAATGCATACTTTTTTCGGAATAAGTACATTTCAAGTGAATATTTAAGACACAATTGATTGCAATCAATGTCATCATGAAGATAGCAAACCATACAATCATAAACATCTATTTTACAGAGGTATTTAGAGTATAATTCATGGTTGAAATTTACAACTAATGCAATGAGAAGGAAACCTTCCTCTAATACTTAGTCAACATTGAGCAGCAGTCGCCTAGGAAAAAAAATTGTATCGTTTGATTACGGAGTGATAAGAATTATGGGCTAGGTTGGCTATCTTTATCATGAAGTCCGTAACTCATAAAACGCATTGCAGATTGTCTTTATGTATCCTAGGTATCTAAGGCTGCTAGTATTCAATCTGTTATCAGTAATC